CAGTGCTGGAACTATCGCTCCAGGCTAAAGCCCAGCTGGAGGATCTGATGATGCTGGGAGACCTGCTGGAGGTGTCCCTGGATGAGACCCAGCACATCTGGAGGATTCTGCAAGCCACGCACCCTCCCTCTGAGGAGAGATTCCTGCAAGTCATGGAGGTAGGGAGCCGCTGATTGTGTAACTTGGTTGCAACATTTAAGAAAATGAGAGATAATGTTTGGATTTTTGTTGATTGGTTACTTATGTCGAAGTGATTTATTTACAGTAACTAGCAGACGTATTTAAACAGCAACCTGGGGGGGCGCTGAATTTAATTTAATTTCATGCCACACTTTTCAGATTTTAAGCTATTTTCATTTATTTCCATCCTCTAAACAGCCTGACAACTCTTTGCTGGAGAAGCCCCTCAAGATCAAATTTAAAGACTCGGAAAAGAAACGGAAGAGGAAGCTGGAGAGGGCGGAGCAGCACCACGTGTTGATGGCCGCCGCCGGTGGCGCCTCGGCCGTCGGGGACCCCAGGCTCCAGAAATCTAAGGAGCTAAAGCGAGTGGGCCTGGAGCTCGGCCTCGGGGTCAAACCTAAGAAGAAAAAGCTGAAACTCAACTTGGAAAAGAACAGGGAGATGAAGCAGCTGGCCAAACGGTTAGCCAAGGAGGAGAAGGAGAGGAAGAGGAAGGAGAAGGCAGCTGCTAAAGCGGAGGCCATCAAGGAAGGTCTGGAGAAGAGGAAGGAGAAGAAGATCCTGGACATCCCCTCTAAGTACGACTGGTCGGGTGCGGAGGACTCCAATGACGAGAACGCTGTGTGTGCAGCCAAGAACTGCCAGAGACCCTGTAAAGACAAGGTGAGGACTCATTCTGACAAGTTTCCGCTGTCCTGGGCCTCCCTGCAGATCCAGAGCCGTCCGGAACAACAGAGAATAATAGATGATTAATAGACACCTGGCTCAGAGGGCAAACAGGGCAGATTCTATGAAACTGAAACTGTTCTTAAACATACAAATCCAAAATCCTTCCCTGGATAAAATGAATTGATATTTTTACCACTGTAGTTCAGGAAAATAGGACTTTAACCTTCAGTGTTTCAGCTCTGGGTCTGTGAGGAAAGAAGATTGTAGATAAATGTATATTTGCCTTCTGTCGAAGTGTTTTAACCTTCCTTCAGCTTTCCCTTCTTCATATCCTCACTACCTTTTCTACTTTGACCTTCCAACTCTTTCTATTCTTCCATTCCTCTGTCCTAATTGTTTTCCTCGTTTCCTACTACCACATATTTCCTTATGCACTTTCTTCCTTCCTTTACTTTGACTGTTTTTGCTCAATAATTCAGGGATGTTTGTCAGTATTCGGTTTATTTATCTTCCATTTCGATGAATCCCATCTTTTGTTTCCAGTGATTCCTTGCATGTGTTTTAAAACTCCATTCAAACTCCATTCATGGAGGGCCGGGGTTACACACCTTTTTTGATTGTTCTGTGCTCCAGTGAAATATAGCCTAGTTTATAGTCTTCAAACATCTCCTTATGAGAGAAGCATGTTTCTTTTTTTGGTTTTCTTTGTAAGGGGTTAACATCAACCATTTCCTCAAATGAATCTGACATAACTTTATTGAATATCAACAGCTGATAACAGCACTGGAACACCTTAAGGAGAGTTACACATCACATATTAACAGGTCCCATTGATGTGGTCCATTTCAACTGCAGAACTGAATACTTTGCTTTAAGTTAACCAGTGGCCAGTCTGCCTCCTTCGTGCCTACCTGGCAGCCAATCGGAGATGAGGAATTCATCAGCCTAGAAGCTTTCTAAACCTTTTGTCACATTTTGATTAAAATATTTGGCCTTTATGTTGAAATTAAAAGTTGGTGGCAATAAACGGCACATTTCATTGCAGCTAAATCTCCTCTGTCAAACACAGCGTTTGCAGCGTCATGGTGTTGGGAAGTGTTGATGCCATACAATATGAATGTAGTCAGATTTAGGATATGATTTGTGGGAAAATCTATAATTTTTGATCTGTTTGGGTTCCTCCAGGTGGACTGGGTGCAGTGTGACGGCGGCTGCGACGAGTGGTTCCACCAGGTGTGCGTGGGCGTGTCGTGCGAAATGGCGGAAAACGAGGACTACATTTGTGTGGACTGTTCCCAGAAGGCTGCCGGCGGGGTGGAGGGAACCACCGTGGAAGAAGTGGCGGGGGAAAACATTGTGGTCTTGGCTCCGTGCGGCGGAGCGGTATCGTCTGTTGCTCCATGGTCTGCCGTGTCCCTCTTAAACCCTGCAGCTTCGCACCATCGGCCAGAATCTCGCCAGGACAGCTAGCGCTAAAAATGGGCTCTGCACCCCTTTGAAAAAAATAAAAACTGTGTACAGGTTCGTCTGTGACAAATGGACTTCTTTTATCTTTCCATGGGAGGATTTCTGTTTCTGTCTGGATTGTAAAGCACAAGAAATAGGGAATTTTCAACAGTTTCATGGGAGAAAAGTTCTCAGACTTCCAAGATGTGATGTTGGTGCAGAGAGTTCGTCCTTCTATTAAACCCGTTGGTCTGAAATGTCGGCTACTCCCTTTATGGTGTCAGTGCTCTAGTTCAATTAATTTACAACAAAACAGTTTTCCTAAAGCTCCATTATTTAGTCCGATCAGACAGTCCTGGGACACTCTGTCCTACTCACTGCTGCCCTCTTCTGCCCAGGCAGAAACATCTCAATGTTTAGGACTAGAAGGAAGCAGAAATGGTTCAAATCTAGTGGAATTATTTATAATGTATATAACTTTTAAACAGTAAAAAAAAATGGTTTGTGGCTTTTTGTTTTCTCACCTTTTAATAAACGATTCCTAGTCAAATTGTACGTGTTTGCTTCTATTTTTCTTTAATTATGCCACCAATAACTTCCACTGTGAAACATGATATAAAAGCCCCCATGCTGTGGGGGCTTTTCTTTAGCAGGGTGGTGGATCCCTCCATGTTATTCAGATCTGATGACAATCAGTTACCGTAACCTGCAGCAAACAAAGATGGCGTCAATAGTTTGGGGATAATAGTAAAGGTATTAAACTCAAAGTCACAAGTGATAAAAGTTTTCATTGCTTTTTTTTCGTGGTTATAGTTTCAGTAAATCTCTGGAGGAGAGTGCAAATCAGTGATGCTGACCCTGGTACAGCCTTCAAACCATTTAACATTTCATTTATGTCTTTAAAACGGTATAAACCCTATATGTATTTTTTTCTGCATTTATGGTGCTTTGAAACTCCTTTTTTTTTTTTTTAGCTTTGAATAATTATAAGCTTCTAAAATAAGGAAATCCTTGGAGAAAAAATGTCCTGACTTAAATGAGGAGTTATTTTCTTTTAAATATTTACAGATGAGACCCAAGGAGATTAGCCTGACACTATCCTAGTGATGAAACACGGGGATGGCAGCATTATGCTGTGGAGATACTTTGTTTTTCTGAAATGAGTGGGATAAGTCAGAACTTTTAATAAGTCTGGCTAAATCTCTGCATACCCAGGATTTTCAGTTTCAGAAAGCTGGGTAGCCATTATTAGTTACTCCTTGAAGCAACTCTGGTCTTACGCCAGAATTTAGTCATCCTAAAACTGTTCTATCCTAAAATTTGAGCTGAGATCAGAGAAGAAATGGAACACACACAAGCACAATTTTGAGGAGTTTTCCTTTTTAAAAATCCACAAGATGAATAACAACATTCTCAAATCTGTAGATTCTTTCAGTGAAAGAAAAACTATTATCTCCCGTTTTGAAATTTCAAGCAACATCTATTCATATATTTTCAGGTTTCTAGGCACGACAGGGAGCATAGATGACATCACATGCATAGCTCCTTTACTAAAGAAAGGATGTTTTATATGAAATACTGTATTTTAGATTTCCATTTTCCATTAAACATTTTGTAAAACACTTTAAAAAAAAAATCAGTTTCAGCTGCATTTCTGATATTTTTAATATGACATTATGAACCAAGGTTTAACATCTTAAATATGAATAATACTTATAAAACAGGGGAAAAGAACAGCAAGAACAGTTTAATTTTTTTATAATCTCCTTATGGCTTCTTATTTGCTGCTTTTCCATTGATGAGATCTTATATAATTAAGCTCACCCTGAAATCTAGGATGACTTAATTCAGAGTCGGGTTAGCTGATTTATCTCACCTGTTCTAAAAACTGAAAACCTTGCAAATCACAAACTCCGGATAAGTTGAAAACTAGAGACTGGAGCGGAGATTTACCTTCTAGCTTGATAAGGAATCTAAACATAAAGCCAGAGCTATGATGGATTTGTTTAAATAAAACCACATATTCATATTTTAGAACCAGAATTCATTGAGATTTAAGGACTAGAATAAGATATCCTGCAAAGATCTGGAAACCAAAAATACTCTAGGTTTGGGAAGTGTTTGTAACCTCAAGACTGAGGATCGTTTTGCTGTCCGGCTCCAACCCAGCCGAGTCCAATCCGGTGGAAACTGACCTCATCTGCTTTTACCCTCCGTCTGAGTGGCTTCACCTCTGTCAATGTACTGACAGAAGAAGACAGTAGTAATCATGCGCTCACAGAGGGCAGCCCTGTATCAATGTAATAAACAATAAAGATGTCTAACTTCTGCTGATGTCATAACACTTCAGCAGACGCACCAAACCTAAATAGACCTGGGATGTTTCTGCACAACTTTTAAGGTCAGAGAGATTCTTCTCAATTTATTTCTTATCAGGTTTTTTTTTTTTTTTTTTTTCAAGTTGTTGATGTTCATTGCTGTAGGTGGGAAGGTCCTGTCTGGCAAGGTGGCAATAAGAATTTTTTTTTTTTTTTTTTGTGCAGCTGAAACCGACACTGGAGACCCAAAAGGTCAAAGGTCATCTTTAACTCATATGCTGCACCTTATTTTAACTGTCCAGACATGATGGGCGATGTACTTTGCACCCAAGGGGCAGATGGAGGGGAAAGAGAGGGTAAGGCCATCCGAGGTTTAGCATTACAAAGCTCCGCCCCTTCTGCCAGCCACGTTAAATACTAAAACTTTGAGCTTTTCTGGATAAAGATCCACAAACGGTTTCAACCCAGAGACACTCAGAGGTGATACTGCAATGAAAGGTAGGCTTCCCTCTCAGCACTCACTCTAAATCTGAATCAGTGCTGAAGTCTGGATTATTATTTAAGAAGGAAGAACATTTCAGCTACAGTTCTTTGATCTGTTTCATAGGGGCCAAGGCAGGCAACCCAAATGGCAACAATCGCATCAAGGATGTACCTCAGCCGTCAGAGGAGAAGATGGAGGAGCGGGGTCAGTGGAGCAACAAGATGGAGTTCATCCTGTCGGTGGCCGGCTCCATCATCGGCCTGGGCAACATGTGGCGCTTCCCCTACCTCTGCTACAAGAACGGAGGAGGTGAGGGTAGAGGTCGATGACTGCGCCGATTAAGCCGTACAATGAAGGACTCACTGTTTTGGATGGAGCAAATGTAAACCATTTAGAGAAGGTCAACATTTCTTTTTGCTCTTTAGTAAAAAAAAAAAAATCTAAGCTGATTAAAATTAATCTAAGACGTTGGGGCTGGTGGAGCTGCTGAGCTGGACACAGTGTCCCCTGTCTCTCTGTCCCTCCATGGGGCGGCGGTCAGGGTCAGGGTTGAGTGTAAAGTGGGGTCAGACAGCTGTTCCTGCAGAGACGGGGAAATCTGAGCGCTCTGAATGTCCTGTGGAAAAAAAGCTCCTGAGCCGGGATGAAAAAATTTACCCGGAGAATCTTGTAGACATAAGGACTCCATGTTGATTTAACTCATAATCCCACCACTCTTTTTATCCTTAGGTGCGTTTCTCATCCCGTACCTGATTTTCCTCTTCACTTGTGGCGTTCCCGTCTTCCTCCTGGAGGTCGCCCTGGGCCAGTACACCAGTGAGGGAGGAATCACCTGCTGGAGAAAAATCAGTCCCCTGTTCGAAGGTTAGGAAAGAACCGCGAGGTATAAATTATTTATACCACTTGAACTTCCTTATAATTTAGCCAGATCAAAGACATGACGTCATGTGTCCCTTTGTGGCATGCATTTCATGCCACAAAGAAAAAAAACCCTAAAGCATCATGCTACCATCACGGTGCTTTACAATGTGGATGGTGTGCAAACACGGGAGGTTCAAAGGGTATGAATAGTTCTGCAAGGCGCTGTAGATGTCTGCTGACACATTTCAACCCTCTGTTTGTTTTCTCACCTTTTCTGCAGGCCTCGGCTACGGTACGCAGGTGATTGTGACTCTGCTGAACTTCTACTACATCATCGTCCTCGCCTGGGGGATCTTTTACCTCTACTACTCCTTTTCTTGGGAACTGCCTTGGGCTTCCTGCAACAACACCTGGAACACAGGTGACAAACAAACGCAGAGGATTAAAGATAATCTTAAATGTTCTGCTGTAGCATCTAGGGACATTTTTTCTGCATCTTTTCTCCTGACAGAAAACTGTGTTGAGTTCCAGAGGAGAAACTCCTCGGCAGTCCAAACGGTCAACCTGAACACAACCTCACCTGTTATGGAGTTTTGGGAGTGAGTTTTCAAGCTGCTCTGACTCCATTCCCTGATTTCCTCTTTGTTTAGCGGATCATTTGCTTATTTGAAGATGTGTGCCTGTCCCTGCAGGAGAAAAGTGCTGAGGCTGTCCCCCGGCATCCACCAAATGGGCACTCTGAACTGGGACATGGCCCTGTGTCTGTTCATCGCCTGGGTCATGTGCTACTTCTGCATCTGGAAGGGGGTGAAATCCACAGGAAAGGTGGGTCGGAAGGGAAAACAAAAGCCTCATCCGCGTATGAACCTCACCACAAAGATGTATGGGGGGGACATCTGGTGTTTGTTTTGGAGAGTTTTGTGTTTGCATGGCCCTTAGCCTTGTGTTCTTTACCGATGCAGGTGGTCTACTTCACCGCAACCTTTCCTTATCTGATGCTGATCGTGCTTTTAATCAGAGGACTCACTCTCCCTGGTGCCGGGATCGGTATTCAGTTCTATCTGTATCCTGATTTGGGGCGGCTGGCTGATCCACAGGTACCTTTCAATAAAGAAATGCATACAGTTATTTATCTGTAAAGAAAAAAGAAAAATAGACTCAAATGAAGTGATAAAAGCCTAACAAGGACAGAAAAGTCCATATTTCCCATGGTCCTCAGCAGGGAAGCTAGGTTTCTGCTGGGTCCATCTGCTCTTATGAACAGAGACAACAATCACAGGACATCACTGGCTGTAAACAAAAGCTCTGCCAGGAATTAACTGTGCAAGACATGAGTCTCATCATGCTCCTCTTAGCTCAGATTGGCCTTTCAAACAATAATAATAATTAAAAAAAAAATAATCAGAAAACCTTAGTGTATGTGTTGTTTAGACAGAAAAGATTAGTCTCCTATTCAAAGGTTAGGATGTGACAATGAATCGTGAGATGGGATTATTACAGATTACCATTTTAAGGGGTTAAACTGACCAATTTCCAAAATGCGCTCCTACACTTTCTAATGACAGAAACTGGGCATAAACTGAAACCAGAAAAAAATCTGTCCTTTTATAAAATAAAACGGAATGATAGTCTGTAATGTGCAAAAGTATTTTTTACTTTCAAGTACTTTTGTTTGCGGATTTATTTTATACACGATACTGTTCATGTCATGGTTCCAGTCAAACATTATAGCAGGAGTTTTGGGTCGTTCACTAGTTTTGGAAATCTTCCTTTTGGCAGTTTGCTTGGACTTCATCTATGCTGCTGAAAGTCTGATTTTGTTGCTTATGCAACTGTATATTCAGTACTTCTAAAAAAAAAATAATGATGAAATTGTAATTTCTGTTGATCAGTCCACACGGTCTAGGTGTTTTTAGTTAATAAAAAGTTTGTTTTATAATTATAGAAAAACCAAATAATCCTCCAATAATACTAATAATAAATACCCAGGAAACCTAGTGCAAAGAAAGAAGTGAAGAAAAATTAGTTACTGTAAATACTACTGTTATTTAGAAAATTATTATTATAAAAATAAGTTATTCGATTTATTTTATTCTAAATAATACAGTGATAATTCCAACATCACTTAAAATAAGGACTTTATTTACTTAATTATTGTACACAGCATAAAGTTACTGTTGATACATCATTGTTACATCATTATTATTTATTATGTTTTTCTGGTCAAATGGAATATTGAGTTATATAATTATAGAAAGACCTACCTGCACAAAGATAGATTGATCTCTGTTACTTCATCTTCTTAGCGGCGGGGGTTCATTTAGGCACGGTCAGCAAATAAAGCCCTGAACCAAACACTCTTGAGAAATGAAAATAAATAAAAAATGTTTTACTATGACCAAATCTTGCTACTAGATTACGTTAAAATGAGGCACACCCATTTTAATTTCATTTTAAGTCTTTTTCATATTTTTAAAGACTTTTTTTGTCAAAATTTAGATTTTCTCCTCAATAGTTTCTATGTTATGTGAACCTCTGACCCAAAATCTGTGTGAAACTGTTCTACTATGTTGGACATATATATATATTGCTCGTTTTATCTTCAATTTTAAGCCTTCTCATATTTTTCTTTAGGAATTTTTAAAGTAGCAAAATTACTGTTTTTCTTCTACATCTTTAGGTCATGTAAACCTCTCACTCTAACCTGTTTAAAGCTATTCTACTAGAGGAGACAGATAAGGCACACCTTTAATGCTATTAAAAGAACAAAGAACTTTACAAAAACATAAAGTTCATTTGCATTATGCTTAGCAGTATTATAATACAATACATTCTCCTCTCCTTTCACTCAGTAATGTGTGCTTATCAAAGTAGTTTTCTTGCCTTTCAAACTAAGTGTCCAAATATTACGAGGAGGACTGGATGGATGGATGGATGGATGGATGGATGGATGGATGGATGGATGGATGGATGGATGGATGGATGGATGGATGGATGGATGGNTAGATAGATAGATAGATAGATAGATAGATAGATAGATAGATAGATAGATAGATAGATAGATAGATAGAACTGATTCTAATTCTATTGTTTTTTTTTTTTTATCATATCAAAGAAATTGTGGACATTTTTCTATTTTGTAGCAAACATCTTTAAATGTCTGACAGAGTCTCTGATTTCCCTGTTTTCAGGTGTGGATGGATGCTGGGACCCAGATCTTCTTCTCCTATGCCATCTGCCTTGGCGCTCTGACCGCTCTAGGAAGCTACAACAAATATAACAACAACTGCTATAGGTTTCTATACCTATATTAAGTTTTCCTTTCTTGGATCACTCTAGAGTTATTATTTCTACCTTATTATTACTTATCCGAACCATAAAGTCGCATTGAAGATTATTTTTATGCCGTAAATGTTGGTGTTTTGCAGAGATTGCTTGGCTCTGTGCTTTCTGAACAGCGGCACCAGCTTTGTGGCAGGCTTTGCCATCTTCTCCATCCTGGGTTTCATGTCTTATGAACAAAACGTTCCCATCTCTGAAGTAGCAGTGTCTGGTGAGACAAACACACAGCAATGATTTGGTTCTGTTTCTTCCGTGCATCCAATTTTACCACAAAAATATAATCCTTCTGGTTAAACAGACAGATTTCACAAAACGTAATATAAAAAAAGTGGTTTCCATTTTTATTCAGCCACTTTTACTCCGATCCCTTTTAAGGAAAATAAATGCTTTCACAGGTCTGCTTCAGCAAAAAAAAAAAAGCCTAATGAAAACCTGTGAACACTCTTTGTCTTGATTTCTAACTTCCCAACTATGCATCCTTTCTTTGCATGAGGTCAAAATCTCAATCTCCATTGAAATTTGCAGTTTTATTGTGGAAAAAAAATGTAAAGATTAGAAGTAAATGGATATTTTTTGTGTCTTTCGTAAAGGCCCTGGCCTGGCCTTTATTGCCTACCCCCGCGCCGTCTCCATGATGCCCTTCTCTCCTCTGTGGGCGGCACTCTTCTTCGTCATGATTGTTTTCCTGGGCCTGGACAGCCAGGTAGGCAGCTGGGCACCTTTTTCTGTCCCCCTGACAAAAATATCTCTTGAATATTTACTGATGTTTGGTTTTCTAACACCTTCCCTCAGTTCGTGTGTGTCGAAAGCCTCGTAACAGCCATCGTAGACATGTACCCCTCTGTGTTTCGACGCAAGAACCGCAGGGAGCTCTTTTTATTAGGGCTGGTCCTCTTCTCCTTCCTAGTGGGCCTCATCATGCTGATGGAGGTATATAAATAGGCTGTTTGTACATTAATTATTTAAAAATGTTATATTTTAATTATGTCAAAAAAATATAGGGCCACTGAAATAACACAAATCAAAAGACATACTTGTGCTAACATCTTGAATTTCGGGGATAGGTGAATGGACAATTTGCTCTATAAAATTCCAACATAGTTGACATGGTTTCACCTCTGCACAGCTGGAATCATGAATGCTCTGTCTTCATTTTGTAAGTGCAATGCCTCTGAGGTGAGTGCTATGCAATGATGCCCTTTAGAGCCAAACCTGAAGCCACCAGTAGCTTGCCTGGAGTATTTTAATCATGCATTTCATGCAAATTGACCACAGCCTTTTCTTACACTGTAAACTTTATTAGGCAAAACTGAAACCAAGTTGTGTGTAAAAATTTGAAGTGCATCAGAATTAATATACATCTGACCTCAGCATCAAGCCAAGATTTTAATGTTTTGTTTTGCAACTTTTAACCTCATTAAGTAAATACACTAAAAAAATTGCTTTATATATTCTCAAATCTTCAATGAGGGATAATATGATTTGAATATTTCATGCATTTATATAAATGATCCTTACATATTAGAATGTGCACCTCATACAGTTGAGAACTGTGTGTAGAGCAGCTGCAGAAACTGTGTTCTTTAGGTCAGAAACTTCTAACCTAAGCTTGTGTTTTTTTATATTTTCTTTAATTAATTGCAAAGTTAGAAAAATTACACTTTTATCTGGGCCTCAAGGTAAACAGCAGAGTTGCTAATGAATGAAAGTCTGATTAGTATGTTAGAATGATAAATAAATAAATCTGATTGGTTCTTTTTTATTTTTCCAGGGGGGAATGTATGTTTTCCAGCTCTTTGATTATTATGCAGCCAGTGGGATGTGTCTTCTCTTCATGTCCATCTTTGAGACCGTCTGCATCGCCTGGGTTTACGGTAGGGAATCAACAGACTGCTTTCTGCAGGGTTAAATGCCCCATGCTGAGGCATGTGTCCTCATTGTTAACTTTGCAGGGGCGGATCGTTTCTACGACAACATCGAGGACATGATTGGCTACCGCCCGGGGCCTTACATCAAATACTGTTGGTTGTTCTTCAGTCCAGCCACCTGCATTGTGAGTATCAGCAAAACTGAAGCTTTTTAGAAGTGATCACCACAGCTGAGAGAAGGAATTATTATTTGGGTTTTTTATTTTATTTTATTTGCTATAAAAATAAAAATTCTTCTCTTTTTGTCTCTGTAGGGGACATTCGCCTTCTCCCTCATCAAATACACTCCTCTTAAGTTAAACAATGTGTACATATACCCTTGGTGGGGCTACGCCATAGGCTGGCTGCTCGCCCTTTCTTCGATGGTCTGCATTCCTTTCTGGATGGTATACAAGATTAGCACCACACAGGGTACACTCAAAGAGGTAAGTAGATCTCTTTGAAGCATTATTTTTGATAATTTTTAGTATGCAACAACAGCGACAGGAACTATTCTATATTTTTGAAGATGAATTCTTTAAATTTCCCAGTTGAATGTGGGACACATCGACTCTATCTAAAGTACAAGACACTACATAATAACTTGCAACTCAACTCCTAACAACTTCCCATTTATGGGACATGGATAAAAGGAATAGAAAACTTGTTCAGATGTTAAACAAAATCTTTTCTATGGCACTCAAGCACTTTAAATCTAAGTGAGTCAATTTTTCTCACATTAAGCGCTTTTTTTCTTAAACTGAGCAGGTAAGTGAGATACTTTGCCAATGGAATAAGACAACTTATATCTAGAATAAGAAAAAAAAAAACTGCAGTGTCTTATTTCAAGTGCATAACATCTGATTATCTTATTGTAAGCCTTTAGTCATTCTATTAGCAGATAATCTTATTTACCAACTCAAATTAAGGGTGAATAGAGTTATTTAAAGATTTTTTTTGTTTTGGCATAATCTTATTTTCCCACTCAAATTAAGGGTAAATACACTAATTTTAAGATTTTTTGTTTTCGCAGTGTGCCCCCTTTCAAATAAAGCCCTGGGCAAGTGCCCTTATATCATTAAAAAGAAACGACTTCTCCCTCTAGTGGCTTTTGTTTGCCTATTCATCTTTAAAAAAATGACTCAGATGATTGTTTTTATTTTTTTTACACAGCATTTAATGTATTAATTTATCTACAGCGCATCCAGACACTCATCACACCATCCGATGATTTACCTAAAACCAAAAGGGAGCAGGAGAGGTTACTGGCCATCTTTGTTCCTGAGGACGACTCGACCAGAACGACAAATGGCTACTTTCCAGTCTCAGAGAGCGACTCCAACTTATGAGGTCCTATAAGAGCTTCATTAGCAACATGGGTTAATGTAAGAAATTACTTTAAACAACCAAGTTTTCTTAATTTTTACTCACAAATGCAAAAACTACAAAAAAGGGAAGTTGTATCTTACCAACCTCAATACAAAAAATGTATATTAAGGACTCAGAAGATACACAGCCAGTTTAGTGCTGGGTTTGGTGTATTTGTACTCTCATAAGGAAGGGTTGAAATAATTTCTAAAAGTAATATGACATTTTTAATCTATTTAAAATTTAAGAAACTTTGACACTTAACGGATTGATGAAAAAAAACATGTACTTTTATATTAGGTGATCTTTAAGTCTTTATTATTCTGATATAATGAATAAATAAAGAAGTGACTCTTTGGCCTTTAGACCACTTAGAGTTATGTTGTTATCTTTTGTTGTGGAATAATTAGCTCAAATATAAAATAGCTGTAAACATTGTTTATATAGCAATATTGCACAAAGCTAACATGGTAAATAATTTATAGATTCATTTTTATAACATAACATATGTTGACTGTACAAAAAATGTGAAAAGTGTGACTTTGAATAAACTGTTTTTGTCTTTCACTGCTTCAGATCTCTCTTTTTTTTTATTTCCAGAATAATTGAAATGGGATATATTCTGGAAAGTACCCATCTTAATTTCCTTGATTTCCAGTCATGCTAAAATCACATGTTCTTTTTAGTTGTTATCAGATCCACTAGTAGTTGATGAATTTATAAAAGCGTAGATTGTTCTGGGCTTTACTGACATTGCAGAGAAAACCGCCTGCTATTTACCTTGATATCCTCTAGGTGGGGTCAGACAAAAAAACAAATAATAATAATAAAATAAAAACCCAGGAATATTCCTGAGGTTTTAAACTTTCCTTTTTTAAATTCTATAAAATATGGATATTTTTTGTAATTTATTTAAAGAATCAAAATCATTGGTGTAGTGATACTTTTCCAATACTGTTTTAGCTGAATATTTAGGCTTTTATTGTGCAGGTTTGTCAGGAATATCCTGTTAATTTCAAACCCTCAGTATTTTGTTGTAATTTTTATTTGCTGATATGTCATCAGTCTTTTCATATAGAGTAACTTAAAATATTAATAAGGCTGACTTTATATAAATAACAAAACAATATTAAGAATAAAGGGATACACACTGATTTATGTACACATTTTAGAAACATTTGTTTATGGGTACAAAATGTCAACATGTACTGTTCTATTAAATGGATTAATACAGGTTTGTTAAATTGGGGGTAGGCCTATATCTTTTAAAAATGAATAACATAAGCCTACATTTCACTTTTAAAAACATATTGCCATTGACTTGATGTGTTATTTAAATCTTAACCTTTTTTTGTTTGTCATTGTAACTGATAGAAATGAAGGCCTGAAAAAAAATCAGCTAGTATTGCTTTTTTAAATAAAAAAATTATACTTTAAATGTATTATGATTTAGTAAATATAACTTGTATTTTTTGCTTTATTGATTTTATGATTCGACGTTTTGCCATAATGATGGGGCATTTTTGAACGTTGTTCTAGAATAATTGCACCACTGGTTATCAGTCTCCTCCTTTACCTCCGCCGAGCTTTCTGATTGGCTATCACCGCAGCGTCTCCCCGTACGTGCCTCTGTGACGCCACCACGCTTCCCCTACCATGCGACGCGTCATGTCCGAAGAAAGATGGCGGAAGGCGGAGCGGCAGATCTGGATACCCAAAGAGGAGAGATCGCGGCGCTTCTGAAAACACAGTTACGAAAGGGAGACACTTGGTAAGACTTAAATCAGAACGTTTTAATGTTTACCAGGTGGCTTTATGCAGGCTCTGCTCGGGCTGACAACGCAACGGAGGGTTTAAGAAAGCCCACGGGCCGTGTTGACAGGGAGCTGAGTCCACAGAGGCTAACGGGAGCCTGTCTGGTACACTTAAATGAAGAACGACTACTTTTTCGCTTACCTGTTAAAATAACTGGCTTGGGTGATTATATTTAACACTGATAAACCCCCTATCGTTTCATTATTGGGTGTACGTTTTTATACAGTATGAAGCCGTGCGCTTTCCCCCTGGCTAAATTGAATGCTAATAGCTAATTGCTTAGCAGCCGTTGCTCCGAGTGGTTTTCCAGTCAGAGGGTTCATTTAGCAGGGCGGAGTCGGAAAACAAGCACCTGTCAAAGTCCCGGAGCCAACTGGTCACGCTGACAGCAGCAAACTCACACTTGTGGCTATAAAATCTGTCGATATAGTATTTAAGCATCTTAAATTGCCTTTGTTGGTGTTGTATAAACTAAGTATATAGCAGAAACGCAGAAACTTCCAACACTGTTAGGGTGGTCTTATAACCAGAGGCGTAGCCAGAATATTTTCATAAGGGTGGCCAGGCAATAACCGATATACACAGAGGGGTAGCCGAAAGTGGATAGGCGCCAGAACCTCAGGGTCAATCTACAATATTGCAACAGGAAAATTAAAAAGCACAACATCTATATTTTCTAAATAAACACAAACTATACTTTCCTACCGTCTTTGCTAAGAAATAGACATGCTCTCTATATAAAGGTATAAATACAATTCTTTCAGGTTTGAGTTGTGGGGCAAACATCTCTTCCTTTGTCATTACTTGCCTACTTTTTATCAACAATTATTCTGCATAAAATTGATATTTACAAGAACTAATATATACATTAATTGATTATTAAGGTTTTATTAAAATAGTTATTTATGATTTATCTGAACACGCCTACATGATTTTCAGAGTCACATCATTTTCTCTTTACCTCATATAACACAAAATCTAGTTCTGAAAAGAGCATGAATTATCTTTAATGTTAGTATATTAATGTGCATAATTAACCGCATTGTTTTTGTTGTCAAGTAATTGTTAATATATGAAAGGTTAAATTGTTTTGAATATTCTACTTGAGAGTATTACTGCTGGGAACGTCTGTATTAGAGGGAATAAAAAGGGGTGGCCAATGATTAGCTAAGGTCACCCCTGGCCCCCCATCTAGCTCTGCCCCTGCTTATAACCGCTGATCCTGCTTTTTCTTCAGGTACCTCGTGGACAGTCGTTGGTTTAAACAGTGGAAGAAATATGTGGGGTTTGACAGCTGGGATAAATATCAGATGGGCGATCAAAATGTCTACCCAGGACCGGTGGATAACTCTGGGCTTCTCAAAGGTAAGAGATCCACAGACCATTCCAGGTTGTAACCCATAATAGTGCTGTTATTAAAATAAATATGTTCTGGTTCATAATGATGTTTGGATTTCCTTTAAAGTTTGATGCAACCACTTACAATATATGACTGATTTACAAATATCATGTAAACAAAATGAAAAGTTCTTTATTTATATCACATAAGTCCATAAAAGTACTTTGTTTAGTTGCTTTGTTTAGAATTCATATTATTAATTTAAAATAGTAGTCCATATATTTCAATTTTATTCTCATTCTGCTATTTACTCAATTGATTATCAGCCATATACTATCAGTAATATTAGTATTTTTGATTTTCTTTCCTTATTGCTGTGGTCAATAATTAAGATCAGAGGCAACTTCACTAAATATGAGAGAGTAGTTGCTGTAAAACAGGGATTTATTAATATTTTAAAACAATAACAATAGGATTAAAGGATTTCATACTGTTTTTTGCTTCTCATATGAACTGGTTTCTCTGTGTGTGACTATGGAAAAATGTAATTCTTATCCGTATGGTAACAATCATCTTACAGTTACTGTTTAGATTGTGAAAAATGTTCAAATATTTCACATAAACAATTAGCACTACTACTTTTATAATTTATGACTGCTTCTGTGTCTTACAATCATTCTAGAAAGCTTGATGTTTGGGTAGCTTATTTTTATATGTCATTGCTTATGTGGAGATCATGCCTGAATAGTTAGTAATAGTAGATTTTTATAGATGAATTGGATTTTTTGTTTATGAATATTTCATTTTTGTAAAATCAATATTTTTTTTTTTTTTTTCTTTTTTTGCTTTGTCCCCCTTCAGTCCACTTTCAGGTCCTCCATAGCCCAGGGTGATATCAGTTTATCACTTTTGGTTCTTCAATGTGCATCCATAACTGATAAACTAGTTACAAACATTTTGTTTGTTATATTTTCATTGTTTAAGTACCTCCCAGAAGGGAAGATTCAAATAAAGGCTAATTCTTGAAAAAAATTGTAATTTTCATAAAAAATAAGAGATTAGATTTTGAAGCCATATTGTTTGACGTTGATATTGCTGGTTCGTACTTTAACCAGTATTTCCCTAATGCTTGTTCATATTTACAAATCTGACCATTTTCCATGACTTTCTGAAAGCTCTAAAGGACAAAACAAAGGTTCTTTATTATCTTTATCCTTAACATTACATGTTTGTTTTTGTTTTTTAACCTCCTTTCCCAGCTTGACTTAACTCTTATCATGACAATCACCCAATCACCTTACTATCACTGTTTAGATTGTGGAAAATGTTTAAGCAGGCCACATAAACAGCTTGATTTGTCTTTTTAAAGGGCTTCTTTCAGCTCTCTGCTGGACAAGCTTCATTTTGAGTCATTAGCTCACTTCTCTGTGGGTCTTAACTTTGAATGTTTTTGACTGTATTTAAGTTAAACCTACAGGCTGTTTGATCATTCTGGAAACACAGACAATAAATTCAGATAACATTGTCTAGTATGTCTTTAGAATATGAGCGGTTGGTTCAGTGAAAGCCCTCCTCTTCTCTTTGTTCTGTTTTGTTTCTCTGGATCTGTGATGAAAGCCTTAACTTACTCGCTAAGCTGCCTTTCTGCCTTGTTTGTTTCTCATCGTCTCTTCTGCTGCTCCCTAGATGGGGATGTGCTGGCAATCAAGGAGCACCTCATCGATGAGCTGGACTACATCTTGGTGCCGACGGAGGGCTGGAATAAGCTGGTCAGCTGGTATGGAGTGACAGAGGGCCAGGAGCCAATCGCACGAAAGGTAGGCTTTGTTTGTTGCTTAAGAAATATAATGGGTTATTTAAAAAAAAACATGTAATTGCTGAAGAGAAATTTGTTCTCTTGCAAATTTTAAAATGATTTAATGGTTTCATATCTTTATCTAGAGGTTTCAGATTTATCCTGATTTTGAAAAAAACTGGTCATTTAAGTTATTTATCTGCCTATTTAGTGTTTTTTACTGTATTTTATTTTAGGGCTGGGGGATTTGTGATACTATCGTGATAGGGATAGTATTGATGATTAAAAACACTTTTCATTGGTTCTTTAAAGTCGTTCTTGGGTAACTATATAACTGTGACTGCATGCAACAGCCATTATAGCCGCACAATCACAAACACTTATGTTTTATTCCCTCTCTTTAAGTTTGCTGACTTATGTTTGGTATCCCAGTGAGACCGAGCTAGAAGTCCCATGAAGCACAGCAGCAGACAGGAAGTGACCTCTGTTTAAAAGGGCTGAAGTTTAGTTTCCCTTCCAGGTGCAGAAATACTTCACCTGCACAGCAGAGATGAAGAACATCACTATAGGCTGAAACAAATTCACCTACTAAAGCTTATATTAGCATTTTTATTTTTTATTTATAATAATGAGCCTAAAAAAAAAGCTAAATCTACTTTCTGTGTATTTGTGTGAATGACCTCACAAGACGCACTATAGTCCGGCTGCTCATCTGTATTTATAAACATTATGGACTGATATAAGAAGGAGGAGTTAAAAATAGGATATTGTCATAAACAAAAGATGCTTTACACCTTCTGTCATCAGGAGCACATGCTGTTAATACTCCTGGTCAATCACAGGTACATTTACTTAATCTACTATTTATATATATATTCTCTTTGACCATCTAAGCCTTATACAGGGTCAGGTTTACATAAAATATCTAAAGAAACTTTGAAGATGCATCAGAATAATGGATTAAAAACAGTTTTAGGGATTATTTAGATGTAAATCTGTTCTGTATCTTTAATTTCTGCTTTCTGTACTGCATAAATATTTTTTTAAGTGATTTATTTCTGGTAAAAGATTTCTGATTCAGATCTCTGACATTTTTATTGTGTTTTTATTTTAAGTTATTTAATATATTTTTATTTAATTTTTAGATTCATTTATTTATGTAGCTGCCATCAGAGTCAACTAATTTAAATATTTTAATATTTAGTTAAAAACAAGAGTTAATACATACTAGTATTGAAATCAAATGTTCAATGATAAATAAAAAGTTAAATACCTTTCAGTAAATTTATGTTTATTTACGTTGGTTAAAAAGCACATTAAAATGTAAGGAGGAACCTATGTTTTTGTTCCATGTGTCACGTTGTTGCCCATGGGAAACATTGACTGATGCAATTTTTTGCATCACTGAGATTGTTTTCCATGAAGTTTTAGAAAGGAAAATTTTGAATTTCTTTGTAAAACCTGTATAAATAATCTTTATTCCTCATGAGTTTATGCGGCCAATGAGGTACGACTTTGTTTTACTTGTATTAATTTGTGTAAACCTTTATATTTGTTTTGAGCTAATTTGGGTTTCTGTTTCCCTTCTTTGTTCTGACGGCATTTTTTGCGGATTTTTAAGACGTGCACAATAAATGGCTGTTAAAACCAGAAGAACTTATCTCAAGAGGAGTAATAATTTATTTATTTATATTTTAGTTATTATGATTTATTTTTATTATGATTTATTTAATTTAACTTTTATTTTTTGTCATTTTTTTAGACGAAAGAAAAAAGTAGTTTAAAATGGAAAATATCAGTTTGAATGTAGATTCTAAAGTATATTGATGATGTCATCTCTGCTGTAAGTTTAGCGTGGTTTGTTCATACGAATGGAATTCAATGATGTTTCTGATAATTAGGATGTTGAGGGCTTTAGGATGGAATGCTAAGGATCGAGTTCTCCCCTATAAATCTCACTAACGGCGGCATCGAGGCCCCTGCCTCTGTCACCTCTCTCGTTTATTATCTTTCATTCTCTCTCCCCCTTCATTGACCCTCCCCCTGTTGCCATGTATGCCATGGCTCGTATCGGGTGGCCGCGGGGTTTCTATTTTCAGGCAAACGTTCTGGATGACAGAAACGCTACATGGAGCGGGCTACAAGACACAACATGCAGGAGGTTCATTACTTTATTTTTTTTTTTTTCTCTGATTTCGTTTTAGTGAGAGGGCAGGAGATGTGGGGCAAAGGAACTCTGGTTCTGTGCGCTCTTCTCTTCGGGTTTGAATGCGGTAGAGGGCTTCTGCGTTCTTGTTTGAAGTGGAGGACTGCCAGCTGAGGTCACACTGATGAAGGCAACATTTTCAGAGGAGTGCAGGAGAGGCTTAACCAGTTTGGGGGGTGTAAGAAGTGGGAGGGGTGGGATTAGCAGTTTGGAAGGTGTTTTGCCTTAATTGCGCTGCTGCAAACTTTCAAATGTGCAGCAGTTGTGCGGAGGTGTTTGGATCGGTCTGCTGAACAGATCTCTGGGTTTGTGGGGAGAACTTTGCTGTGTGTGTGTGTTAGAGGGGCTCAGCGGTGAAATAAATAGGCTGGGACTCCTCAGCTGTTTCCACGAGGTGTGGCTAAATTAAGCATTCGACTCTGATTCTGTCATAGCACTTGACAAGTTTCAGCCAGAGCAGCAGATTTTGCTCTATTGTGCAAGAAGGACTTCTTCTAGAAAAGCAGAAATTACTGCTGACCTTAAATCCATGATGCCTTTTGGAGCTTTTGTTTATCCAGGGGTTAAAGTTCACATATAGGAGAAAATAAGATGCTGGATTTTTTGCAAAGCAAAAGTATTTATTTGTATCCTTTTTTATATAATCATGTGGGGTTTGTTGTGTTATTTTACAGGTGGTGGAACAGGGTATGTTTGTGAAGCACTGCAAGGTGGAGGTGTACCTGACGGAGCTGAAGCTTTGTGAAGACAGCAACATGGACAACGTGATCACCAGACGCTTCAGTAAAGCCGACACAATAGGTAGGCATCCAGACCCTCTGGGTTACAATGAAACTCGCTGGGTTAAACAGAGACTCTGCATCTTTCAGTGTGTTTATGTGAGGCCTGTCCTGCCCTGTTCTGGTCCAGTTTACATCTGAAAGTCTTTTTAGGAGTTAAAACTACTTGCCTTTGAAACTGAACTGTTCCTTTTTGTAGATAAACGCACAGTTTGACTAGGCCATTGTGTATTCTTTGTTTTAATCCATTTCATTGAGGCTGATGTTGCTATATGATGCTGCCACTACTGTGTTTTATCAGGAAAACTTTTGTTTTCTCAATCTGCTCTGACAAGATATTAAAGGAGGAAAGACTGTAAATATTTAATCAAGCCAGTGTGTATCTACTTATTCATTTTGGGTCCAATGCAGCATGTCTGGTTTTATGTAACATTTACCTCTGATCTTAGTTTGCTAGCAGTGTAGTTGATCAACTGCTCTAATGATCAGTTGGCTCAGGGTTAAACTGCGGAAGAAGATAGAGATAGATGATCTTTGTTTATGTCTGTAATGATTTCAAATATTTCAGATTTCTTTATCTGGGCCCATTGAAAAGAATCTTAAAAATCCACTTTCTGGATGCATGTAGTTGAAGTAAAACAATAATGTATGTTTTTTAAATCATCTCTCTTCTCTTTGCATCAATGCAAATATACAGAGACTATAAGATCCTGCAGGTTATCAGACAGAAATATTTGTACAAACAAAACCCAAACAGTTGAAGATCACTTAGGGGTACACGTTAAATAAAATGGAACCCTTTCTTTTGGATTTTTTTGTTTTATTAAAAAGAGAATTGTCTTTTTTGTGTTTATGGAGTTTGGGATTTTTATGAACATAGAAAAAAAAACAATCAATTAGAGTTTTAATTTCAAAGCATTAGCCTCATCGCCAAGACTTAACAACATAGTTTATTCCTAAAGTTGGGTCCTATTTTCCCCTGGGTTGGTTCTGGATTTGATCATCCCTACAAAGGAGGCTGATCTAGATCCTCAGACTTGAAATATTATTCATAAGCTTCTTCATTCATTTCAAACCCATCACTGAGTAACACTCCTTAATTTTCACGTTTTGTCGTATATACGGTCAAATGTTAAAAACAAAGAGGAGTCAGTCAGATTTTCTAAGCTTCTACTATTATATGAAAACCAGTGATCAAGTCCCTCTTATCTTCTATTTTTGCTGCAGATATGATAGAGAAGGAGATGCGAAAGCTGTTCAGCATCCCTGATGAGAAGGAAACACGACTGTGGAACAGGTACATGAGCAACACCTTCGAGCCTCTCAACAAGCCGGACAGCACCATCCAGGACGCCGGACTGTACCAAGGACAGGTAGGGCCTCCTTACTCTTCTACCTACAGCTGGCTGTAGTGAGTAGACCTGAGTAATTAGGTCCTTTTAGATATAAATGTGTTTGAATAAGGCCTTGAAAATTTAATTTTTTTTTATTTTTAAAGTGTAAAGCTCATCTGAGTTCAGCTACGTTTTTTATTTCTTCATTACAAGTCAACTCCGTGTCTGATTTCTGCTTGACCTCATCCAGTAAAAACTACCTATATAAAGACAGAAAGGAGGGTAAAAATTAACACAAAAAGAAGAAATCAGAGATGAGGCGCCGTGCGTGTCTCATCGTCAGCTTCGTAACTTAAAGGTTGATTCTCGCCGCAGCAGCAGACCTAAATGGAGACCCCTGTTCTTTTGGTTGTTGTCCTGCAGGTTCTTGTCATAGAGCAGAAGAACGAGGATGGCTCGTGGCCCCGAGGCTCCATGGCTTCCAAGTGAGTAAAGGTCAAGGGGCGCTGTTTTTAATTTTTCTTTTTTTCTTAGATTATCTCCTTCTTTTCTAACAGCGCTATGACAGATTATTTAGGAGGAGGTGTTGAACGGCTGAAGGCCTTTTAGGATTAGCTGATGTTAAGTAGCCTCATGTTCTTGTCTTTAAAAAGGTGAAGCTTTAAGCTGTAAAGCGATCATCTAAAGCCTCTGCACCATCTTCCCCTGCCTCAGTCAGCCTCTCCTGCTTGACCTTCTGTTGCCCCCCCTCCCCTCTGTTTTCAGCTCATTCCAGTTTGATTTGATTGACGCGCACACACCTTATTTTCTGCTCTAACTCATGATCTATTCTTTTATCTTTTGAAGGTCATCTGGTGCTTCCAATCTCTCTGCTTTGCCAAAGATCTCGCCTTCATCTCTCACAAACAATCATAACAGCAGCTTCAACAGCAGGAAGTAAGGCATAGTTGCGGGTTGAATAGCTGGGAGGGGAGGGTGGGTGATGCTGATTGTTACCCTAAGCGAGGGTTTCTATGGCTGAGATTCATGAAGCCATCATACAGCAGGGATCAAACGCTGATAAAATGACTCGCTGGGTGAACTGATGGTCTGCTGATGACCCTCCTGGTTCATGTTTTTATTTTTAAGCCCTAAAGCTTCACATAAGATTCTGCTTTATCCTTCTTAACCCTTTGCTCTGCGGAGGATCTGATGTCATAAAAAACATCAGTTTGTTGGTAGAACAGCTACAGGTTTTGGTTTAATAAACAAACACTATAAAGTGAGATTAATTTTGCTTTTTTTTATCGTGCAATTGGTCTGCATTGGAAAACAATGCAACTAGGGCTGCAGCTAACGATTATTTTTCAAATCGACTAACCTATTGATTATGTTTTCGATTGATAGATAGCCCAAGCTTCCTTAAAGAAGATTTTTTTTTACAAAATTAAACCAGGTCAAACTTTTCCACTATCTGGATAGTGCATATTGAAAAACTATTTTTTTTTTAAAAATATCTTTTTTTGAAGATCTTTGTGTAATTAATGTTCTAAGTGTGTCACTCTGTCAGCTAAAGTGATGTTTTACGGACTCTATACTCCAGTTAATAATAACCGTATTTTCCAGACTATAAGCTGCTACTTTTTTTCCCACGCTTTGAACCATGCGGCTTATAGGAAGCTTATCTATTGATGTTTTCCTAACTGCCAGAGGGGGAAGTCAAGGTTAGAAGTGAAAGAAAAAGGGGCTAATTTTCCTTTAGCACAAGAACATGCTAGCAGCAGGCATGACGGTGAAGAAATATCCCGAATTCTGCTTTAATGCAGCAAATAAATTGCTGCATTAAAGAGACTGGGCTCAACTACTGCAGAGCTGAAATAAAAAGCTGATGAAGCCCCAGCTTTAGTGAAGCTCTTACTACTGTGAGCTAATAAGCTAATGGGAGCTAGGATTCTTCTTCGTCCCTACTCCAGGGGCTATATGTAGAGCTCCACCTACAGGTTTGGTGGGAGACAGTTCAGTAGTTATTAGCGGCTTATAGCCGCATATGTAAGTTTCCAGTTTTGTCCAAAAAAGTTAGTGGGGGCGCTACGGTAATCGACTACTAAAGTAGTTGACTATTATTTTAAAAATCGATTAATCAGATTAATTGTTTCAGCCCTAGAAGCAACATCTAGATATAAATATCTGTATCAATGTTTGGTTTAATGTCTCTTAGTTTTTTATCCGTCAAAATTCCTTTTTGCAGAGTTCTTAGTCGTTTTTATAACAAGGGGAAAAAAATTGAGAGTCTTTTTAACTTGAGAAAACTCCACTAGCTGTCAGGCATGGTGGTGGCAGCATCATGCTATGGGGCTGTTTTCTTGTGTGACGTTACTGGAGTTAATGTTTATTATGATTCTGAACGCTGGAAGTTTCATCATGTTTTTGCATCAAAAACACCTCGGTTCTGGTTTGGAGGCTCGACTTTAGCTCTTTAAAAGTTTCAACTACATCAGGAAGAGGAGGGTCGCATTTCATACCAGAAAATGTAACACATGTTTGATGATGGATACAGAAGGCATGAGGCTCTTTGTGCTAATGAGAGAAAATACACTTTCTAAATCTGAGGAAACTAACTTGAGGAGGTGTTTTTTTTTTTCCCCATCTCTCCCTGAAAATAATGAACTGGAGGGAATCATTAAAAACTGGGAAAAAAGAAGATGTTCTGGCTGCATCACATCTTGGATATCAAGAAGGAAAATAAATGTGGTTACATTAAAAACGTCGCTGTTGTGGAAACCAGTCATACTCTGGGAACATTTTTCAAACAAGATGACTGCCTGCTCTTGTTTCATTTTAAGTAATAAAGAAAAATATGCTACGTGTTTACCTGCATTGAAGACTAACCAAAGGAGGAACTCAGAGGAAGAATTGATTGCTTGCTGGAGAGCAAGGCTGCTCTCCAGGCGAAGCTTTATGACCTTTTGATCCGACTAATGTGGGATCTACTGCGCATTTCATGGGTGTTTGAGTGGAGAAACCATAGAGAGAAGGTTTTATTTATCTGCAGTGTTTTTCCTGCTCTCTGCTCAGGTTGGGGCTATAAATCATCACGTTGCAGCTCTGCATTGTTTGTATATGAAGAGGGTCGGTTGTTAAACGGGATGACTTGGAGAAATCTGATCTTCACTCTCAGCAGCTCTCCTATCCCTGATTGACTCCAGTCAGCGCTGTGGTTTCCTCTTAATTATGCATGCGGCCTCTATTTTTCATAAGAAGCACGCCCGAGTTGCATGCCCCTCCATCTTTCTGACTTTGCGGCGGCGGTGCGGTCGGCTCGGGCCCAGCAGCAGGTTTCTCTCAGTTTCTTTCCCGCTCCTCGCGATGCGCACCTTCTGCAGTCCTGGTGACCTTCAGGGTGCGTTTCATCGCTCTTCTCTTGCATACTGATTGGGCAGTGAGGCAGCTTTGTTTCCTGGGTGTTAAAGGCACAGAAGAGGAGAGGGATTTATACAAAAGAGTCGGATAAAGATGGAATTTAAGGGAAAAGCGTCAATTTGATGATGCGTTTTGGAGAGGAAAATAGGAGGGTGAGAGTACAGGCTCATCTCATTTCTTCTCAGTCAGCCCCTCTCCCCCTTCACTCTGCCTCTCCCTCTCTCTTTCTCTCACCGTCCACCCCCGTGCTTTAGTAGCAGTCCTGAGCATCCTTGCTGCTGCTATAAATATCCACGGGGACCAGTAGAGCAGCAGAAGGGAGGAGCAGTGGACAGGACGGGACGGAGCGAAGTGATCTGAGGGGTAGAGGACAACAGGATGAGGGAACGAGAGCAAAGAAAAGGAGACGCGATGAGTTAGAAGGAATAATAGTGTCCTGCTGCTTGAGTTGGACTGAGCTGAAGCAACGTTTGGACTAGACAGCAGCAGGACTTTACCCTTTATTTTTTTCTTTTTTGGACTTAAACCGATTGATTTTGTGCTGACATGTGGGCCGGCACGGGCTGGGGGGGGGCTGAGATGTCATGCTCCTGTGTTGCTGGTGGTGCCTGAGGCCTGAGGCGGTGGATCTGGACAGCAGGAGGGTGGACCACCACGTTCTGACCTGCGAAGCCCCCGCATCCAGCACCAGAAAAACTGCATCGTTTTCTCAGTGGGGGGCAGAGACGACCGTCGTTTCACTTCCTGCTTCCCAGAGGTCTGCTGCGCTTTAAAGGGTCCACCTCTGAAGCTCATTGCTGCATTTCAAACCATGTCTCTTTTTTAGATTATAAAAGGAAAAATCTTTGCTAAAAACCAAAAAGTCACAGATTAGAATCTTATTAATCAGGAAACAAAACGTTTAAGGTGATGATCTTTTTGTATTCGGTCCTTTTTTAAAAACTTTTACAGCTGAATACAGCTGCAGGAATTTGCAGATTCATCTCTTCCATCTTTGCTTTGCCTCAAGCTTTTCTCCCTTTTAAAACTACAAACTCTCTCCTTCAGTGTTGGTTGTAGATTTGGGATGAATATATATTGATTAAACCGTTTACTACTTGTTCTCAGCAGCTTATCCCACAGAATGATGCTGCCACTGCCTTCTTTGTTGGAGTCACATGAAAAGTCTGGTTTAACCATGAAAATATAAAAGGGTTTGGGTTTTTTAGAAAGGCATTCGCATAACTGTTGAGGATGTTCTTTTTTCATGTTTGGTGTGACTCTATTTGCTGTTTACTCTGCAGTGTTAAGAACTCCAGCTACAGTCTGCCCTCCTCCTACCAACCATACAGCAACAGCTACGACTACTCGGAGCAGAGCAGGCAGAGCGAGCGCTCGGGCCTCTGTGGACTCTCCAACCTGGGAAACACCTGTTTTATGAACTCTGCAGTGCAGGTAATAAAGCCAGAGTCGGGATGTTTCTGATTGCTGGGTTTATTTGGATCGGTGCGTATCTGAACGGCGTCCTTCTCTGCAGTGTTTAAGCAATATCCCCCCTCTGACGGAGTACTTCCTCAAAGACAAGTACAGAGACGAGCTGAACGAGGACAACCCCCTGGGCATGAAAGGGGAGATCGCCAGAGCCTACGCTGAGCTCATCAAGCAGCTTTGGTCGGGAAAATACAGCTACGTAACGCCGAGACCCTTTAAGGTAAATCCATCATCTGAACGGGCATCTCAGGGAGAAAAACGGCCTCTGATCTTTAGAAGTTAAATAGTTTTTTTTTGTTTGTTTTTTTTTTCCTACTTGTTTAAGTGCGCTCGTTCTGTTTCCGTTACAGACCCAGGTGGGCCGGTTCGCCCCACAGTTCTCCGGCTACCAGCAGCAGGACTCCCACGAGCTCCTGGCCTTCCTCCTGGACGGCCTTCACGAGGACCTGAACCGCATCAGGAAGAAACCCTACATCCAGCTGAAGGACGCCAACGGTCGGCCAGATAAGGTTGGTTCCCCCGGTTCTGTTTGAGCCCAAACCTTCAATCATCTGCAAGCTAAAGGGTTTGTTGTACTTTTCCAGGTGGTGGCGGAGGAAGCGTGGGAAAACCACATTAAGAGGAACGACTCCATCATCGTGGACATCTTCCACGGCCTCTTCAAATCCACTCTGGTTTGTCCTGTGTGTGCCAAGGTCTCTGTGACCTTTGACCCTTTCTGCTACCTGACCCTCCCCCTGCCCATGAAGAAGGAGCGGACACTAGAGGTGTACCTCGTTAGACTGGACCCCGTCGCTAAACCAACACAGGTAAACAGAACGCTGCAGCTGAACGCAGAACCATGACCATAACCCTAACCCTCCTGTGATCTGATCTGATCCCGTGTCTGCTTTTCAGTACAAGCTGACCGTCCCTAAGGTGGGATACATCTCTGACCTTTGTACCTCCCTCTCTAGCCTATCTGGAGTGCCTGCTGACAAGGTAGGAATTTTCACTGAATTTAGGCCTTTTAAAAAAGAAAAAACAATAATAAACCTGTGAGAATATAACTGTTCTGAATGTACAACGATTCATTGATCCTTTCTCTACAGAGTTCTTTATGGGTTTTTATTTAAATTTAGATGCTTAAGTTTTAACTTTTGAGCAGGTAGAAATGAAAAAGACAATTAGTTTTTACATTTTTGGTAAAAAAAAAAAAAAAAAGGCATTTTGGCCCCTAAAGTAAAAAGGTTTGGACACTGCTGCTCTAATAATGTCATTATTAAACCTTTAATAATGACAGAAAAACATGAGAAGTAAGCAGTTTCCTGAAGTCTAAACTCCTTAGAAATGTGTCCTAAAGAGGCCAGTAGGACCATTAAACATCTTTCTATCAAACCCATTTGTTTTCAGTCGTGTTTCATTGTTGCTCTTCTCTCCCCGTCAGATGATTGTAACTGACATCTACAACCACCGTTTCCACCGGATCTTTGCCACTAATGAAAACCTCAGCAGCATCATGGAGCGAGATGATATTTACGTGTGAGTATAGCGCTCTTAACTTTCACCCTAACGTGGCATTTATCCACAATGAAGTAGGGCTGGGCGATATGAAGAGAATCTAACGCAAAATATTGAGCTATAATCACGATACATACCGTATATACTGTATATATTCTGTATATCGTGTATCCTTCAAAAACATAACATTGCACTGATGTACTCATTCAAACTTCTGGTTTCAAATTTAAAACATTTTAATTTTAACCAGCATTATGTCTTTGGGTGTCAGTAGTAGATTTTTAACAAGAATACTGAATTAAATGGAAAAATAACCGAGGGCTCTTTTGGACATAATAAAAAAGGCAGAATGAAAAAAGAAATTGACCTCAAATTACAAAAACAAAAGAGCATCTCCAAACTATTTGCATTGACCTCTATGTGCTGGGAATATTCAGAATGTTGCCAAGTTTAGAAAATGGCTGCGAAAACCTCTGAACGAGACCGCGTCACATCACGGGTAGAATAGCATCTAAAAAACATTTAAATAACGCAAATAAATCTTTGGTTTCCTCATATGGGATCGCAAGGCCAACATCATCTGCTTCACAGCTTATTTATTTAATGCTTTAATTTGTGACGCTGACATGCAGAGTTTACGACATTCTTCATTTTGCATGGATGGCTTTTTAGGTGATGTAATACATGTTTATTCCTACCTTTTGCAGCAATGGTTTTTGCGGCACATCTTACAAATTAGCGCCTTTTGTTCGATATCCTCTGCGTGAAATCCAAACCACTGCCATAAATTGCTGAGCTGGAACACCTGCTGTCGCCATATTGGCGCACAGAATATAATCCTGTTTGGAGGAGGGGTTTATGATGCATTCAAAGAATGTGGGGATAAATAAAACTCTCAGTGCTGTAGATGCAGACGGCTTAGTGTTGTCATGCTAATTTGTACTATTTGTTTCTATTTGATGGTTGCGATAATCATTTGAACTATCATGCAGGGGAAAACTCAAGATACATCGATTATATTCTATATATATCGCCCTCCCCTACAGTGAAGTCGATTTTTGTTCCTGACTTTTCGGATTCCTCTTTGTGTGATTTGAAGTCTCTCTCTCCCTCCTGTAGCTTTGAGGTGGCGGTGAACAGAGTGGAAGACGCGGATCACGTAGTAATCCCTGTTCACTTGAGGGAAAAGTACAAACAGTCGGGCTACAACCACACCAGTACGCCGCTGTTTGGTCTGCCCTTCCTCATCGCCGTCCCAAGAACTCTGAGCGAGGACAAACTCTACAACATGCTCCTCTCTCGACTCTGGTGGGCTTCTGTTTGTTTCCGGTCTTAGCTTAGGTTGGTTAAACCCTGAAGCCACTGGAAATCTGAAGATTAATTTGGAATCTGATGCCTTTTCCGCCCAAAGCCGGTTTGTCCGATCTCCTGTGGAAGAGGATGAGGAGGACAGCGAAGAGACGCAGCCGTCCACGCAACACGCTATAAACGGAAACGCTACCAACGGGCTGCTAGAGGAGGGCTCGCCTAGTGAGTTTCAGGAAGTAGTCTTTTTATTTTCCGCCCCAAGACGCTGCCAGTTGATCCAGTTTGCTGTTTCCCAGGTGAGATGGAGACGGACGAGCAGGACGACGAGTCCAGTCAGGACCAGGAGCTGCCGTCGGAGAACGAGAACAGCCAGTCGGAGGATTCGGTGGGAGGCGACAACGAGCTGGAGAACGGTGTGACGGCACCGCAGATCTCCACCAAGGTTCAGCAAACGGCCGGCCTCAACAGGAGGAGGCTCTTTACATTCCAGTTCAACAACATGGGCAAAACAGACTTCTCGCTCATCAAGGAGGACACCAAGCTGATCCGCTTTGACGAGGGACATCTCAGACTAAGTGGTAGGATGGAGTTCTGACGACTGACCGATCAGTTTGATGAGATATAGTTTTCCCAGCTTGTCTGTCTTTTTGCAGACCGCTCGTATCTGTCTTTGGACTGGGAACCAGAGATCAAGAAGAAGTATTTTGATGAGAGCGTTGTTGAGGTAAGAGGACGTGTCTACAGAAATGTTTATCTGCTCATCAGAAGATGATGATTGATTCTGGTTGCTCTGATTAAACAACAAAATCTCAAACTTCAATCTTTATTATTAGTGTATGATTAAACGTTATTTAAGCTAACAGAGACTGGTTTATAATCAGTAGATACTTAATCATTTTATAAATAATCTTCTGAATGGTTTAATTGGTTGCTGCACCAAAAAAAAGCCTCCCCACAGCATGATGCAGCCACCACCGGTCAGGATGAAGCTGGTCTGAAGTCGGTTTACTTCTGCAGTAGATTTTAATCATTGATCTCGGAATCAGTGAAAATCCCTGCTGGAGTTCAGCAGCTGCTGTCAAGAATGTTCCTGAGGGGGGGGGATGGTGGACGGGTTTGTTTAATGCTCCTTCACCTCCCAGCTCCTCTTCCAGGATTCATCTGCATTATTGTTTACCTACACTTTGTGCTGCGATTCTCTTAAGGAGGCCAAGTCATGTAACTATGCCTAGAAAATAAGAACTATATATTATCCTCCTAAAACACAGATTACACTCCAGGCATTCACCCTGATAGTTTTTACTGTGTCCTTTTTAACTGAAGAGATCAGCAGACAAAAACGAGGTTTAACGCTGTCGCCACCTGCTGGCAATACTGAGGCACTCATCTATTGGCTTTAGTTCCTGCTGCTTCCAATATTTTTGTGCTTTAAAAAACAAACAAACAAACAAAAAAAAACACTTTCTTTCCTTTCACACCTCCAATGAGGAAATGCTGCCTAGTTTGGCTTCATTACTTATTTACTCATTGCACACATTCTCAGTATTTTACATCTGGAAAATGAAAAAAGAGCCAAACTTTACTAAGAAATGGAGCAAAAACTAGCTTTATACTGTCTAATAATCCAACAGGGCAAGAAAAGTTCAGGGGAAAGTATTTGTGTGCTACTAAAGTGAGCTACTTCTGCAGAAGTGAGTGAAGTCGTAGTATATGCACTGCAAAAAAAAAAGAAAAAAGAAAATTTAAATAAGTCTTTTTTTTTAAATAAGGAGAATTTTTCTTGATTTAAGGAAGTAAGTAAGACACGTTGCTAATAGAACAAGATTATTTACATTTAAAATAGGAACAAACTATTGCATTATTATCTAATTTTATTTTAAGAGTAGAAATACTCATTCCATTAGCAAATCATCTTATTTACATATTAAAATTATGGGTAAATACACCTAATTTAAGGCCATTTTTACTTATTTCTAGAAGGTTTATTCAGTGTGTCTGGGCGTTTTTTACTAGCATGTGCTGACTTGTCCTCACAGCTTCCTCCTCTGTCAGCTCCCGACAGTGCAGATAAATTAGATTTAAAGCCCAGTGCACAGCGCGTCAGACCAGTGGTCTGTGGCGAATGTGCAAGCTGCTGGTTTTTACCTTCCTCTAGGTCTCATAGAAAGCTCTGACTGACAGGTTTTTAATGAAAGGAGATTGTAGCTGTAGTTTACATAATGAATGTTTCTCCTGCTCTAAGCATTCCTGACCCTCTTGTCGGCCTTCATAAAGCACCGTTCTGTTCTGTTTGGCTTTTATGAGCAGGACTATGACAAGCATGAGAGCATGGAGTACAAACCTCAGAAAAAAGCTTTCTTCAAGCTGAAGGACTGCATCGAGCTGTTCACCACCAAGGAGAAACTGGGAGCCGAGGATCCCTGGTGAGAAACTCAAACACCTTTAATTTTAGGATGTAGCTTTTGCACGCCATCTAAAGCTGTTATTCCATGTCGGATCAGGTACTGCCCAAACTGCAAGCAGCATCAGCAGGCCACCAAGAAGCTGGACCTCTGGTCCTTGCCGCCGGTTCTCGTGGTCCACCTTAAACGTTTCTCTTACAGCCGCTACATGAGGGACAAGCTGGACTCGCTGGTTGACTTCCCACTCAGGTACACTTCCCACAGGCAGACACCTCCAGATGTTTTCTCTGCTCAGCCACCAGTTAAAGCTAATGGTTTTGGTGGGTTTACTTCTCAGGGATCTGGATATGTCTGAGTTCCTGATCAACCCCAACGCCGGGCCCTGTCGCTATGACCTCATCGCTGTGTCCAACCACTACGGCGGGATGGGAGGCGGACATTGTAAGACTTTCAGCAGCTTCTCTACCAGTTTGGTTTCAGATACATTCATGTGCTGATCTGTTTCAATTATTTATATTATCTAAATAACAGCCAGAGCTTTCTTTCTAAAAGAAAGGCACGGTAGTGGCGGTTAGGGGTGGGTATTGCCAAAGAAGTCACGATTCGATTCGAATCACGATTCACAGGCCACGATGCAATTCTATCACGATGCATCACGATACTTGAATTATTGCGATGCATTGCAATATTTTATCCTCCATGTTTTGTTTTTGAATGACTCGGCACAG